GATTGATAAAACTGTGGTGGTTGATAGGAAGCTGATGTTGACTCAAAACAAAATGTAATAATATGAAAGCAATATTAAAGTATTCAACTTTGGGCTTTCAGTCTAAACATCAATAGTAGCCATATGGGCCAACAAAAGATACAGAATCCATCTATGATTATTTCATAATGCTTGTGTCTCAAGAAGACTCTTTCAACGTACATTCGCGCCATAAGCTCCTAAGTTTCTCTCATCCAATGAATGTCAAAGAATAACAAAAAGACATAGAGAAAAGAGAGACAAAGCGAGAAACAAGACAGGAGTTGAAAAAAATTAGTAAATCGAATCAAGCCAAAAAAAAAACTTAACTTTTGATTAACCAAAAAAGGTTTCTGGAAACTCCCGGCGGCTTAGCTCCGGTTAAAGAGTAAATGGCCGTGGCCTGGCTAATCTGGCCGTTCGTGCTATCTCTAACAGCACTTTCCGCTTTATTCACTCCTGCGAATTCGATAACCGAAGCAGAATCATTGTTGAAATTTAAGGAGTCATTATTTAACGCCAAGTCTCTTGATTCTTGGACACTAGATTCAGAGCCTTGTGGAGACAATCAACGATGGGTCGGATTGCTCTGCAACAAAAATTCCGTCTTTGGTCTCCAAATCGAACAAATGGGTCTCTCAGGAAACATCGACGTCGCTCCCTTAACCAGCTTACCGGGTTTACGCACCATAAGTATAATGAACAACTCCTTCGCTGGTAGTATACCGGATTTTAACCGATTAACCGCTCTGAAATCGATTTACTTATCAGGCAATCGATTCTCTGGTAAGATTCCTTCTGATTATTTTGAAACGATGCTGTCGTTGAAGAAAGCGTGGCTGTCCAACAACGAGTTCTCTGGCCTCATTCCTGTCTCATTGGCAACCACATTGCCAAATCTAATGGAGTTACGCCTCGAAAACAACCAGTTCCTCGGGATTATACCGAATTTCACCCAACAGACTTTAGTTGATGTCAATCTCTCAAACAACCGACTAACCGGAGAAATACCTCCTGGATTGTCAAAATTCGACGAGAGGATTTTCGAAGGGAATCCTGGCCTTTGTGGTGCGAAACTAGCAACTACCTGCGCGCAACCAAGAAACTCGACTCCAACGATTAATATAGATGGAACAATGAAAGATGCAAGCACAAGCAAATACTATATAGCATTTGGGACACTAGCAGCTCTTTTCATCGTTATCATAATCTCCTTAGTCTTCCG